ACCGCCAGAACTGGCAGGAAACACCCCCTTAAAATTTCAGCTTTCTAGCTTTCCTGGCTCCTAAGTTACCACCTACTTGGACGGGGAACGCCCCCTGCGATTTCAGCGTTCTAGCTTCTCAGATTCCAGAGTTGTGAACTTACCGGGAAAAATTTTGGCGGGCCCATACGCGGGTACCACGCTTACCCGGGAGATGGGTTTGAGTGCATTAACACCCAGTTGGACGGGGAACGTCCCCCTAAGATTTCAGCGTTCTAGCTTCTCAGGTCCCCGAGTTATGAACTTACCCCAAAAAAATTTTGGCGAGCCCGTGCACGGGTGCACGCGGGTGATGGCGCCAATTTTGGGGATTGGGGCCGGTACATGCATGTAGATTAAGTTCCCCAAACCTGCAGTTTTTATAGGTCTTGAGATGAAAAATCGGGACAGACGCACATAAAGACACACGGACACACAGACAACCCCTCGTCAATATGCATTTTTGCATTGCAAAAACCGCATAATTAGTGGAATTATTAGAAACGGACAACTGTGAGAAGCACTGAAAAGTCTTCACTACGGTTGTTGGCCGACTGGCTGCTGACATTTGTTTCCGATAAAAAAACAAACGCGAAAAGGGAAGCAAGGTAAAAGAAACTTCCATTTCTGTCCTTGGTTTCGTGGAGGAGGAGGTCGAAGAGATGGGAGGAGGGGGGAGGGGAAGAGGGCAGGAGAGGGTTGAACTGCTTAAGTAGCAAAAAAGTATAAGCTGCTCGCCTGGTTGACGCGTCGAAGAGGCGATACGTCCACAGCTTGTCGCCTGACGGTGCCCGCACGACCGATACGTGTTGAATCTTCTCGAGGCCCGCTGTTTATCACTGCATGCACAAGCACCTGCACCGGATTCTGAAATCACAAAAAAAAAAAAACTATTTGAACCCTCTGAGATATCCATTTGTTAACAGCTGCTTTTGTTGAAGAAATTGGGGGAATTTCGATGCTTCTTTCTTTTCTTCCTACTCCGCCTTCCTACTCTACACTTACAAGAGGGACATATGCCATCGGAAGCATCAAAAGCCACTGTCAACACGAAAAATCTTCGAAAGAAAAGATCCCGCCAGTAATGCCCCTTACTAAAATGTCTCACCCTTCGAGAAGCAGTGGTACTCTACACAAATCCAGGATTTCTTGAAAAGGTCTGAAGGCTTGCCAAAAGCTTTTTCAGCGAGAACCGGAAATTGGCAATCCCTTGAGGACGTGGAATGACCGCCAGCACGGCCAGCAAGCTGACCACGAAGCGATGGAGGACTGGTCGAAGCAAATGAAAAAGGGTCCCCTGGGCCCGGACTCCTCAGTCGACTGACCAGTTAATGTGGCCTGTCAAATCGGCTCGTTGACAATTACTGGGGGTAGGCACGAGG